GGGGGGGGGGGGGGGGGGGTAAGGATTGTAATAGGGCAAGGGTTGGTGCGGAGTGGGGTCGAGGATAGCAATCTTAGTCCCATGGCATGACCAAGATTTTTGGTGTAAATTTAAAAATATAAATATAAATTGGAAAAATAAGATTTGGGGATGGAGATTGTATTTTTCGTCCTCGTCCCCATCCCGATTCCCCAACATGGAGAGACAATATGAGACATGATAAGAGTGATATTTTCTTTTCGTTGAACAACCTTAGACCTGGAAAAAATATTCTTATTTTTTGTTTCATTTCTCTATTCATTATTTTTTTAAAATACGATTTAAATTTAAAAATATAAATTAAATTGAAATTAAAAAAGAAAGAGAATGAAGAAGAAAATCGTGTAGTTTCAGGCAAGGACCATGTTCCTAATCAATTGACTAATTAAGGTCAAGAATAGAAAACAAGTGTGACATATCGTCTCTAATCTTATATACAATCATGTTACACGTACATCATTATTTACTACATTGTGTCACGTAATAATACATCTTTGACAATTTAAAAAAAATAAAATTCCGTACACAATTTTTTAAAAACAAAGGAAATGTAAACAATAATGTAATGGAATGAATACACATTTAGGGTGTGTTTGATGGATATTATTTTGGAAGAATGTATTTTGGAACAGTAGATTGATGGAGAATGTGTGGTTGAAAAAGAAGGAAAAATTATTGATGTAATGGAAAATATTATTTTAATGAAAAATGTGTGGTTGAAAATGAGTAGAAGAATAAGAATGAAACGGTACCAAACAGGGCTTTAGCATTATTCTCTCATATACACACAGGTGGATGTATTTGTCTAGTCTAGTTATATAAATCATAAATGTAGAGGAAAAATAATCAGTCAATCCATTCACAAAACAATTACCCGACCTNTAATGGAATGAATACACATTTAGGGTGTGTTTGATGGATATTATTTTGGAAGAATTTATTTTGGAATAGTAGATTGATGGAGAATGTGTGGTTGAAAAAGAAGGAAAAATTATTGATGTAATGGAAAATATTATTTTAATGAAAAATGTGTGGTTGAAAATTAGTAGAATAATAAGAATGAAAATTTTAATGGGTACCAAACAGAGCTTTAGCATTATTCTCTCATGTATGTATACACACAGGTGGATGTATTTGTCTAGTCTAGTTATATAAATCATAAATATAGAGGAAAAATAATCAGTCAATCCATTCACAAAACAATTACCCGACCTACAAAAAAGCAGTTTTGAACAAAAGGACACAAATATATGAGAAATTTACATTTTTCTTCGTCAACCTTTGAAAATGTAAAAATTTATCCTCAACCTTTGTTTTAGCATAATTCATCACCAATCATTCAACTTTAAAGCAAAACTATCATTTTATCCATTTTGGCACAAATTTTTCATTCTCTTTAAATAAATAAAAAATAAAAAAAAATTTAAAAAGCACCAAAGCACCAAAACAAGTAGAGTCCAATAACATTTTATTTTCCCCAATCAAGCTGTCCCATCAACACCTATTGCATCCATCCTAATCCACCCCATTCCGCTATCAAACAACAATTCAGTATAGTTAAAAATGAATTTGAGGCGGGATATGTTTTGACAGGGGTGTCTAGTGGGTGAGCTTGGTTATAGAAGATGAATTTTTTTTCTTTGCGTTATATATATTTAATTGTTTTATATTAGACATAAGGTTTGTTTGATCCTCATTTTTTTGGAGAACAATTTTTGTAGTAATAAATTTTTTTTTTAAGAATATGTGTTTAAAAATAGAAAAATATTTTGGATTTACATATAAGATTATTTTATTAGAAAAATATACGATTAAAAATAAGTTTGACAAAAAATAAACTTTAAAAAATGAGAATCAAACAGGGCTTTTTTTCTATTTTTTGAAAACTTATGGGACTCAATTTATAATTTTTTTTGAAAGAGAATGATAAATTCGTCTTTTAATAACGAAAATGGAGAGTGTGACGAATTTGCTACATAATTTAAAGGTTGGACTGTTGGAATGAAACAAGTTAAAAAATTTGAGGATGAATTTATTACATGAAAATAAAGATTGAGCACGAAAAACACAATATATATATATATATCATGGACTCCTAGTACCACACCATTTTATTATTTTTATTTTTCCTCTGCCACCACCATTACATTCCTTCTCCTCCTTCTCTCCCAGTATCTCTCTATTTCAATACTACGGCAAGAAAGAGCTATGAGTGGCGACGAAGAGTGGGTCAAAGCGGCGATGATTGATGATACGATGGTGGTGGACGTTCTTGTGCGGCTAAACCAATCTCAACGTGCACCGCCACCGGAGTCGATTAAGCAACTTAAGTGGAGCGTCCGTCAACGCCGGTCAAGACCTAAGCCGGCTAACGGAGCCAGCCCCACGACGCCACTGTCATGGAGCGGCGGCGGCGGTACCTCTCTTAGTTGCGGCTGTGGTGACCATGAAGAATCCAGTCATTCTCCTCCTCCTCCTCCTCCTCCTAAACTCGCACACCATAAAAGATCTAAGGTTTGTACATGTGAAATATGTTACACATACAGATAAAAATATATATTATTTAATCTCCACCGGCGGTCGATTAATTTTCCGGCTAACGGTGTTATTCGACGCCGGAGTATCTCCTTTGTTTTTATTTTTCATTAGAGTCTCGTGTCATTTTTCAATGTATGCGAAATTTGTTTATTGACGGAATTACCCCTTTAAATTTTGATATTTACTGCCACGCGCCTACGGGGGAATCAGATTCTGCCCTTTAGGTTTTCTTAGGTTTTTTTACTTTGAATATTTGTTGACCAAAATAACCTTCCACGTTTTCATCTTTATACCTTGTTTGGTAAGTTAGATAGTACAATTTTAATCTTCACTTAATTGATTTTATCATTGGCCACTTTTCTACTCACCAGCAAGACCTCATTATTATGCGTATTCTTGTAAAACCTCTGAGTTAGCCAAATGACAAAATTACCCCTATTTATCGAAAGGTTAAATGTGTCATTTGACTTGTTGAATTGGCCAATTAAAGTTTCAAAGGAGAGTCCATGTCGGGGGTCAGCCAAGCCTTAGCCGTCCAAGTCTAACTTCCCCCACAAAATTACTACATTAACCTCGATGAAAGTGGATGACATTGAAGTATTGGGGTATTTTTGGTGAATTCACTTAGTGGTTGGGTGGGGTGACGTGGGGGCTGTTAATGCCCCTGTTTAAACGGTGGCGTGTTTTCGTGGCAAGATAGGTCTGCGTTCAGTTTGGTAGTGTGTTGTAAGTGGTTGTACACTTTATTAAGAACTTTTCACTTTTATATTAAGAGGAATAATCTGGTGTAGTTAGGACCAATTTATCTTTACTTGCACCCTCAGTATCTAGTTATTATCCATATCTTCTTGTCTTTATCTTCCAACCATCTGATGCCAATTGTACACAACAAATGCGAACATTACGAGGCACCGCACCAACTGTACTAAGTTATTTTATCATGTGATTCAATCCACAATAAATATACCTATAAAAAAAATTTAGTGGTTTGGTTGTATATGGACGCGTGTTACTATCGACTTCAAACTCAAGCGAGGATTCACTCAGTACCCATAATGTCATGATTCAAGTGGTTAGTCATATGTGTATATAGAATCGTCCTAATTAATTATTTTTCCTATAATACTCGTATCTTGTCTCACCTACATACTATTTAACCCTTGTTTGACTTCCATTTTTTTAAATTACATTTTTTTCTCTTTTCTTTTCAATCACACATTTTTCAATAAAATAATATTACATACAACTCAAAAACTTCTAATTCATTTTTAACAACACATTCTCCATTAATATACTATTCCAAAATGTATTCTACACTAAAAAAGAGCTCAAACATACCTTTGATTTTATTACTAATAGGACAAAATCGGTAAGTGGGACTTCGAATGACAGTTTTGACACAACCATTCTTTCTTTACCACATTATATACGACCAAATCTGATTTGTGGACAAGAGTTGTAATGCCCACCATGGGCGTGGCAACATCACCAACGATGAAAGTATGATGCGGCAACACATGTTGCCATGCCACAGTAGACATTATAACTCTTTATTCATAAATCACGTTGCCACATCAACAATGAAAGTATGACATGGCAACATATGTTGCTATGCCCACACTGTACATTATAACTCTTTATTCATAAATTTCGTAGGGGCCACAAATACTATTCACTTTTTCAGCACTTACGTACCCTGTTTATAAACATGACATAGCATGATACCATCTTTATGTTCAAAGGGTGATGATTAGGGCTGTAATTCCTGTGCTTGACAGAGTAAGATTAGGTTATTTTTATATATATTGCGGGTCCAAGAGAGTAAACTTTCTGTCAAGTAAGTGTAATTTACCTGGGGCTTGACAATTGCATGTGTAGAAAGTGAAGTTTGTTACATAATATGTGACAAATAAGCATGAACTTAGCTTTGTCGCTAGAATGGTGGGGTGGGGACCATATTTGTCACCCAAGTATTTGTGGAAACAAGCTAACATGATAATATTATCAAATCTAAAATTTTCATCTCTTAATTTTTTTTATTTGTTTACTTTTTTTTCATTTGTTCTCTCTATTTAATGTGATCTTTTATTTGATGACATGTAACGAAGAATTTATGATAACAATCGTATATCTAGTGCTTACTTGGGTATGTAGGTAGCTATGTGAATTCATGTGGACCTCAGAAACATGATTCTCGGGATGTCGGTTAAGGTTTAAAACAAAATTCACGTTCACCCACTCCCAACTCTGTTTTGAGAGAACAGTCAGTGCTATAACGCTCGAGAAGTGTTGCTCGATTAGAATAACTTTCTACATTGTGGGTGTTTTCCCCCACTTAAACCTTCCTGGCTTGTTTGTAAGGTATATTATACTTATTTAAGGGCCAAAAAAAGACATGTTAAAGTCTATCTATTATACTGTCCATTAATATCTAAACTAATATGTTGTGCCAAACATGCACTTAGGAGGCATATTTGTCCGAATTTTCGAATATGGAAAATTTTAGCAGCAGTCACATGAGATGTGTTATGGCAGCCTTGAATTTCAATCAAGTGTGTGCTTAAAAGTGGATCCTAGTAGCAATCTTAGATGGTTGTTACTTGTGTTTCTTGTCTTCAAATTTCGCGGACGTAAATACATTTATCAACTCGTTAGGATGTAAATACGTTTATCAACTCGTTATGCATGCTTATTGACAGTAAAGTCTAGTTCACGAGTACCAGCAAATAAATCTGCGTGATTGTATGCTAATTGTTTCCTATATTCATTGCAGGTTAATAACATTAATGAAAAATCGACCATCAAGAGATCAAGAAAGAAGAAGGTGATGATCATGCTGTTTATTGAGCTCATCAAGTGCACACTGAATTCATGTTTTTGTAATGCACACTTGATACTTCGACATGTTTTTTATTTCCTGAAACATTAGTTTCATTCAGATTGTTCGAAGTTTCACAAAACATAAAATGTAAAATGTGTCCTGCTGATATCGTTGTGAAAACTGTTACGGCAATATTGATATACTTTAATTAATTTAAAGAATCAAATATATTTGGTAGGTTATCAGCATTATTTTCTGAGTTGTTTCTCATGTAGGACAAATATGTACTTCAATTAATTCAAAGAATCTTTAACATATTTGGTAAAGTTATCAGCATTATTTTCTGAGAACATGATGTTGCATTCTTCTTATGTTTTACTGTTGGAATATTCTTAATCAATTTGACACTCGATTCTCTTCAAATATGCAATCACTGTTATGCCAAAATTCAGGATAACGTTGAGAGGCGTACAGGGGGACTTTTTGGTACAGACTATTAGAGGTTCTTCATGCAAAAGAAAAAGAAAAAAATATTATAAATGGATAGCTTTTAGATGAAGAAAGTATGCAAAATTAGCACTTTAATTGTTACTTTCACGAGTTTTCTTTATACTCTTCTTGGTTTTGATTTGCAGACCTTAACTGAACTGAAAGAAGAAGAGTACTTGCTGCTTAAGGAGAGAAGAGAATTGGAGAGGGTACTTTTCTCCTTTGTGCTCCCTATGTACTGATTCACATAAATTTGTAAATCTTCCTGCCTTCGAATTGGTATTAAAACAATCAATTCTACACAGGAAATATCAGCATCACGTGTCAATTTGGAGAAACAAAGGGCTACCAATGAAAGCTTGAAGAGAATAAAGGTGCAGTTACCTCGGTTCACTTTGATGTCGTCCTTTTCCATTATGTCTGGTTGATAAAGAAGTCAAATTAGGCTTCATATTTTATTAATTTTTTGATATCCACATACCTGTTAATGATTGGACAACTTGAATAAAGTGTGTAACATGTATAATCCCATTAGTGTCCCAGAAAATGCTTGAAGTAATTTACCTTCTTTCGCTAAAACTCTAGCCTACCACCGATAGACGGCCAGCCTGCTGCTGCCCGAAAAGGAAACTGCATTGATCTGGTTATGTGCTGTGCTGTGTATCAGTGTATAGTATCTTAATTCTGTACTTGCAACACCTAGAAATAATGCACGCAACATAGAAGTGACATCAGAACAACTGGTATTGTGATCCTATTCAATTGTATTTTCTTGATATAATACTTAGAAGGATGGGCAGCCAGCTGAGTGTATAAAATAGCCATGGAAGGATTCTCGAAACAATTTATTTCTTTTAATTTATACTTGTTCTTACCATTGTGTAGACCTAAAGGATGATGCAATATTGAGTCTTGTGTTTAAAAGAGTGACGTGATCTTGGTACAACACATTAAAAGATGGAGGGGTAGACCAAAACCAGTACGGCCTGTTATGATTGTTAAGAATCTAATTGCTTTGGATACTCGTGTAGAACTAGTAATTGACAGATGGAGATGAGTGGGGCGACGAAGTATATATGTAGCCAACCTCGAATTTATTTAGAATAAGAGTAGTTTTTTGTTGTGGTTATCGTTATTGTTTTATATTTGTTCTCAGTATAGTGGATTTGGCTTCTTTCAAAGATTTACTTTATTTCTATTGCTCTGGTGTAATTTGTCGCCTGATATTTTAGTGCTACTTATAGTGATATGATGATCCGATATTCTGTTCTGTGCACTCACATGCTTTCTTTCGATTGCTCTTTCATCTATGGACATCCACAACCACAAGAAGAATGCTAGACATAAATCAGAAAAAAAAATAGTTAACAAAATGACATGTCTAGAATTTTGTCAGTGTGTGCGCATCTGATAGGCTGAAACTGATTTTTTTTTTCTGAATAGATGGAAATGCAACCAATTCCAGAACAAGGGCCAACAGTTGTATCCGAGCCAACAATTTCTGGTCAAGTTCAGGAAAAGATTGCATCTTGTCGTCCTATCTTTCCTAGTGCACCGCCTCCAGTTGTCCCTAACGACTTTGTTGGGCTGCAACTCCCAACATCAGATGACTTTCCTGAACCGCAGGTAGCTGCTGCTCCCGTGGTTAAATTCATGCTTCCAGATCTAAATATCACATTCGACGAGGAATCTGGATGTGAAGTTAGCTAGTTGATCAAGCATACAAACCGAAAAATATCTTCAACTGAGTTTAGACAAATATAACAAACGACACCTATACTAATGGCGGGCTAGTCTTGCTTTCTAGGAAAACTATTGTAGCTGTATTATAGGAACTAATTAGCCTCGAGGTCGAGGATCTATTCTTTTTGTTAATTTCATGAATGAAGTTCCTTTGGGTTAGTGTAAAGATCCTAACCCATTAGATGCAGCCACATTTTTTTCTCACAGCTCTAAACTTGTCCAGCATTCCTTCTATTTTCTTTCTGGGAATGTGGGGATGTAATCTATCTTTTGCCACTGTTAGTAGATATAGTAAACAACAAATTGAATCTTATTTCCAAAGATTTCAGGATCCTTTGCAGTTTATGCGCACGTTTGGCTTTGCTTAGAAGTTAAGAAAGATTTATTTTTTGATTTTTTTCTCATTTTGACAGCCTCAATGGTGATATTGTCGAAATAAACTGGCTTCTTTGATAGAAGCAGAGGCCAAATGCTCAAGGCATCATAGGAATATAAAAGTAATGCAACTATAAATGTCATGTCCAGTACAAGGGATCAAAAATGTACAATTGTCTAATAAAGTACAATTGCCGGTCTATAAATGAACTCGTGCCCAAAATTAAAAGGGAAAAATTCATAAAT